CGGGAATGAAAAGGAGCCTCTACGAATCGTTCACCTTGATTCTACATAATCCAAGCCATCCCAAAAAGCCAGCCAAGTGAGTCTGGCAAACGGCTTGACTGCGGATTGTAGGCTCTCATCGCATCATGACCACCGGATTTGTCAGGGCTGACAGCCAAATTGACTCTTTGGCAGTCAATCAAAGCGAATTGTCACGAGTCATGCGAGAAATGCAAGTCGCCTGGAAACAGGCGCAATTAAAGCCATTCCACCGAGTTCGTATTTTGCTGGCCAATAACAATAATAATAATATTGTTTATTTTGAAGCCAATTACGTGGCCATACATCTGGCCATGTTGATGTTGATTTTCTGCGGCTTTTGCTTGTGCGGCTGCTTTATTTTCACCGGCACGAATTTCGCTAGCTTTTTAATCGCACGGCACCTTGTTTATTTTCTTCGGCTGTTTTTCTTTCGTTTCTAATCGATTGCCTGAGCCCAGCGATACGTTTAATTTATTTTAATCTAATTGTTTTATAATTAAAACATACTTCTGTTTGATTTCACCTGTGCGTGTCACAAGCAACAATCTTGCGGCTTGGCTTTTCTCGGTTCGAGTGGTTGTTGTTTTGTTGTTTCAGTTGCCTTGGCTACTGGGCGCCTTAATTAGTTGCCACTGATTTGCAGCCCCACCCATATTTTGCAGCTCAATCGCCGCAGGATGTTGACTCGCAATTCGGAGTGTTTGCGATGCACTAACCAAATGATTTGTGGTCTGCAGACGTGTTGTATACTTTGGGGCTTGCAAAAGATTCAGGATTTGTGGCCGAGTTTTGGGAGTAAGGCCTCAACAGTGTGGCCTCGATGTGTGAAACTGGTTGGGTATAAATAGTTCTGAAAAAATTGAACTCAAGGTTGGCAACGTCCTAATACATTTAAACTGCAGGCAAAAAAAAAAAACTAGCCGGTGTCATATCGATATGCGAATGGTAAATTTCCAGTGTTTATACGCATATCGGTTTTACAATGCAAAACTGATAAAATTAATATTAAATAATACCATTTTACCGATTTCTATCTCACGGTGATTCTCGGACTACGAGAGGAAGAAGCAATATGGCGACTTAAATTATTTGAGTGGGAGCGAGAATAAAAAAAGGACAGCTAGAGAGTGGATTGTACCATTTAGTTTATATTTCTATGCGGCACTAGCAGGGAATAAGGTTCGTAAGTGAATTATCTAATCTCTTCTGTTTACTCAGCATCCTTTGATCTCCAAATACCAACGGAAGAAATTAATTCGGAGCTATCTGTTGGCTTGCCATTGGTCACACAGCCCCACACCTGCTTACTCCCCCGACAATTTGGAGCCACAACTGCTGTCTCATTCAATCAACTCGACTCCATATACCACAATGCACATTGCACATTGAATTGTGGTCTCCATTGAATGTGCGGCAAATGAGATTCTTTTAATGACGATGACTACGATGATGATGATGCTGCACAACAATCAATTATAGCAAGTTGCCACAGAGCCAGAGACTAAGATACAGATACTGATTCCGATTCAAGTTGGGGCAAACAACGGTTACAAAGGCCCCACTCAAATGAATCGAATCGAACCTTGGCTGCTTTCCTCGGTTCAAAATCGGAGATTCGAGATGGAGCTGATGATCTGCTGCCAGGGGGAGATACTTTCTTTTTATTGCCGACACCGACACAAGGCAAACGTAACGAGTTCAGATCAATTTTTGGTTGACTCGCTGCCAGTTCGGCTCAATAACGTACGACTTGTTTTGTGGCCCCTGTTGCGGTGATGTGTTTAATTTTGTACATCGTTTGGGGTTTCAAAATTTCCAGAAAATGTGTAAGTGTGAGCCTTGGGTTTGTTTGTGTTGGACAACAATATGATAAATATAAAAATTAATACATTGAGAGTGAAAGTTATTGCTTTTGGAGCTCAGTGGATCATTATCGTCATCATCATCGCACGAATAATCATCACCGGCAACTTCATGGCTGTGAGAGAAATGGCGATAATGACGAACGAAGTGGGATTTTTGAGCTGCCGAGTTGATTTCTTTCGCTTGCCCGATGGACCCCGATCACGTTAACTTGATTAATAAGTTTGGCGGTATTACAAAATATCCGAAAAGCTGACGAAATCTCCAGAAGACGGTTTCCCGTGTCTCTGTCTAATTGAATTACAGCACCAAGAAACTCTCGAATCTCTACGGCAGAGAACGCTAATTATAGCACTAAACTTGTATAATGTCCGGATAAAATTATTTTCAACAATTATCGCGTCCCTTAGAATTTAGATTTCTGTATGCATCACTGATTCAAAAATTGGGACAGCAGCGAAGAAAGTGTAGATGACATCGGTCGATAGAGATGGTCCCATGCGGGTACAATAAATATCAATGGTATCACCTTAAGAAATCGTAAATTTCCATAACTTTACTTTAAAAAAAATCATAAATATGTTTACCTAAAAAACACAACATTTATATTAATAGGAAAAGAAATCGCACTTTTGAGATATAAATACATATATATATATATTTATAATTAAACATAGATATATACTATAACACAGTGCAACATGAAAAATGTAACCGCAATTTTGATTTCATGGGCGGAAAGTACTCATCGAAATAAGCTAAATCCCATTTGGGTTTATCTGGCTTAGCTTGCGTTTAAGGTTTGTTGTTGTCACTTTTCTTATCCAATTAGTCTAATAGTACAATTATAACACCAGTTTACAAAAAAAAATCGACCTCTTCCTACTCGAAGGCAATCTTGGTTTTCCGGTAAAGTACATCTCCCTGATTAAAAAAAGGTGTCAATTTTTTTAATCAGGGAGATGTACTTTACCGGAAAACCAAGATTGCCTTCGAGTAGGAAGAGGTCGATTTTTTTTTTAAGTGTAAAAAACGTTTTTGGGCCTGTTTTATTTTCTATCTTGAGTTCTGGTAAACCGATTGAGGTCATAGATAACTCAGTTTACAGGTAATAACAAGAGAGAACGCTATAGTCGGGTGCCCCGACTATCAGATACCCGTTACTCAGCTAAAGGGAGAGCGAAGGAGATGGAGATAATTGGCTTAACTCGTGGGTTAAACTTTGATCCGCCATAACTTTTTAACGAATGGTCCGATTTAAAAACGTTCTTCTACATTTCGATAGGTATTGATAAACACAATCAAACTGCATTTTTACTTTTCCGAAATATTGAAATTTTTAAAATCGTATATTAGCGGTTGTGGGCATTAGAGGGGGCGTGGCACCCTTTTAAAACAAACTTGCGCTGCGTAGGAACTCCTAGAATCTGCATGCAAAATGTCAATCTTCTAGCTTTTATAGTTTTCGAGATCTCAGCGTTCATACAGACAGACAGACGGACAGACAGACGGACAGACGGACAGACGGACAGACGGACATGGCTAGATCGACTCGGCTAGTGATCCTGATCAAGAATATATATAGTTTATAGGGTCGGAAACGCTTCCTTCTACCTGTTACATACTTTTGCACGAATCTAATATACCCTTTTACTCTACGAGTAACGGGTATAAAAATACACGCCTAAAAACCGAAATTAGTTTTACAGCTTCTTCTGGTGGATGGTACTTTGACAAAATAAACAAGCTAATGATCATAAGAATCCACCAGCAAATGAATTTTATATGAATATTTGAAGTTTGGGACAACGGTCATTTTTTGGCCGTTTACAGCTGTTCGGAAAGTGGACCAAGCATTTTTCGAACTTTGAGGACCTTTTGCTAAGAATCCTTGCGTCGGAGAACTTTTTGGAAAACGCAGTTTAACTTCGGAATTCATAACGAATCCAAAAATATAGCACCCATCGAGGTAAATTTAAAAAGCATTAATAATTCTGCACATTGTTATTAAATGTTTTAAGTGATTTTTGTACCCGTTACTCGTATATTGTATATTGTATTCGTGTAAAAGTATGTAACAGCTAGAAGGAAGCGTTTTCGACCCCATAAAGTATATATATTCAAGATCAGGGTCACTAGCCTAGTCGATCTAGCCATGTCCGTTTGTCTGTCTGTCTGTCCGTCCGTATGAACGCTGAGATCTCGGAAACTCCAAAAGCTAGAAGGTTCAGATTTTCCACACACATATTCTTGGTCCTCCTACGCAGCGCAAGTTTATTTCAGCCGAGCGCCACGCCCCCTCTAACGCCCACAATCGCCCCCTAACGATTTTAAAATGTGTCCTGCGCCCACACATGTTTAAAGATTTTCGAGAAGAATAAATGCAATTTTATTGTGTCTATTTATACCTATCGAAATGTAGAAGTCATTTTTCGAATCAGACCATTCAATAAAAAGTTATACGTAATCAAAATATATATCTATCTCCATCGCATTCCCTTTAGCTGAGTTACGATTATTAGATAGTCGGGACACCAACCCGAGTACAGCGTTCGCATTTCCTTTAGCTGAGTAACGGGTATTAGATAGTCGGGACACCAACCCGACTATAGCGTTCTATCTTCTTAAGTGTAAAAACTACTATTCGATAGTCGAATCACTCAACTTTAGCGTTCTCTCTTGTTTTATATTGGTGTTGCTTTGTGTCAACAATCTCTAGCCTGATTTACTTTCGATACCTACACACAAAAAAAAACTTGGTAAAATCAACTGTAATAATTGTCAAACAGGCCCCAACCAGCAAAATTGTCAATTCTACTAAGTAAATAGTTATTCCACAACAACAAAATACACACAATTAGCAAAGACCCAAACCCAAAGCAAAAACAAAATACACGTAACTATTTTAAGAGTTACGTAACTATCTTTGTTGGTCAATTTTACCAAGCAGATTTTTTTGTGTGTAAGTGTATTACGACGCCATGTTGCACCCTCACCCCTTTTCCACGGACCGGCGACCCATTTTTATGGCCGTTGCATGAGCTGGCCAACGCAAATTGCTACTAAACGTCTTCAGAGCTCATCTTTTGGGCGGGGTAACTTTCGCTTTTTCGGCTGACACGCTCGCCAGTCCGCTAATGGAGTTGTTTGGCCCCCAGAGAATCGTGTGAAGTGGAGTAGGAACAAGGTGTGGGCCAGGAACAAACCCGCAGCACTTTAACCACTTCTAATCTGTATAATTTGGCAGAGAGCGGCGAGTTGAGTGAACCAAAGGCCAAGTTGTTGGTGGAACGGTCGGCAGCCAAGCGCATCCCACGGCTGTCCAACCAACTGACCGTTGAAAATTGGAAAAATTGCAACGGCCAGTGAAGAAGAAAATTGCACGGCTACGGCAAAACCAGAGAAACGCGAACTGAAAGCATTTTTCTTTCTTTCCAGAAGCACCATTGTTTTAATTTACAATTGTGACAATTCGGCCGGGGATGCTTGAGTGCCTCCGTTTTCCCCCTCCTAAGAAAGTTCCCCGTGGAAATTGGAGCTATATAATATGACCAAGCAATTGTCAAGGCTTTTAGTTGAACTTGAAGCGTTTCGGCAACATGTTCCGCATTTTCCCGCTGCTCTGGTTGCTGCTCTTCTCGGCTGTCCGCTCCGAAAACTGCGATCAGGATGCGGGTACCACTCTATATTGTCGCGGGGAAAGGGCTTTGCGAAATGTCCTGCGAAATTTAAATCGCAGTGAAAAGCCCTTGGTGGTAGTCAGGGGCCTCGAGATAGTCCCTCTGCAAAACAACTCGCTTATCGAAGAAGAACTGGGTCAGGACCAGGGCCTTCTGGATAGTCTGTCCTTTTATTTGCGCACCCACGAGATTAATGTAAAGCTGGTCGATCTCCTAGAGGATGAAGCTCAAGTTTCTGGTGAGTTTGCTTAAAAACAGGGACCGTAAATAATCGTTATTTGGGATTTTTATTTTAAAAAGACTACCGTGATATTTTTTGTAAATTGTAAAAAAAAACCTTCTTTTTACTCTTGTCCACGAAGTAAAGGCATGCATGTCAAAAAATCTGGAACGCAGATTAACTGTTATTTGTTCATGTCTATAAAGTGTACAAAAACCAGTTAAATTGTTGAGTAAAACTTGTGCAAATCTCAGTAGACCTTTTAAAATAAAACAAGAAAGGAAGCTACCTTCGCCCACCCGAAGCTTATATACCCTTGTAGATAAAGTAATGCTTACTCGGTGCAGTTCCAGAAATTCCAATTTTGTTTTTAAGTAGTCAAGAATCAAAACGCCCACTTCCTAGAAAGTTACAATGAATTTTCTTATATTTGTTTGAATTTTCCTATGGGAGCCTTAAGATATGGTGGTCCGATCCGGCTCGCTCCGACATATGTACTACCTGCAGTAGAAAGAAGACTTTCGGGAAAGTTTCATCGCGATAGCTTTAAAACTGAGGGACTAGTTCGCATAGAAACGGACAGACGGACATGGCTAGATAGACTCGGCTATTGGTGCTGATCAAGAATATATATACTTTATGTGGTCGGAAACGTCTCCTTCACTGCGTTGCAAACATCTGATTGAAATTATAATACCCTCTACAAGGGTATAAATATCAAATAACGAGTATTTACGGTCCCTGCTTTAAAATCAAGTGATCTCGAAAGATTGGTGCATGTGTAGGGACACATTTTGTTCTTTTGAAACTTAACGTGATTGGTATTGTTTAAAAGACTAGTCTTTTAGCTTTAGAATTAGGGCTAGTACTCAACCCAACATAAAGTCGTCCAAAACAAAAAACTTCATATGAAACAACATTTTTTGACGTTATTTTCATATGAAGTTTTTTGTTTTGGACGACTTTTTGTTGGGTTGACCCAAAAGGATTTTTTTCCTTTGCAAAGAAATAAAAAAATTTATTTTTTGAAGAGTGCTAGGAGAAGCAAGGTAAAAAAGTATTTTTTTTTAAGTACTTTGACCGTGTTACAATTAAGACAAATATATACTTTATGGAAACGCTTCCTTCTACCAATTACATTCTGTTCCCCGAATACAATATACCCTTTTAATCAAGGAGTAACGGGTATAAAAATTGTGTTTGGCTGCAACTATTTGCAAAACAACACTTTGCCGACAAGAAACTCTATAATTACGAGTATATCTGCATTGGCATGCAGTTTTTCGGATATCACACAGCAAATGTATTTTTGATTTCCTCTAAAATCATTTATGCTTGGACTTCTTAGGTTTTTGTTGGATTCTTGATTTCAAAAAGCTAGTTTGATACCAAGAGCTAAATATTAAAGGGTCCATTTAGTATTTTGAATTGTTCTGTTCAAAGCCACATTTGCCATTTCGATGCCAAATCTGAATTGAATCAAGGGCACATTGACAAAAAATCATCAACCAGCAAATGCAGTTGCATTAGCAGAAGTCACAAATGTATTTTTGATTGTTTCAGAGGCCCGCAAAAAGGACAAAGGCCAGGGCATGTTGTTGGCGATGGCCCTGATGTTTGGCAAGATGATGGCCGTGATGGGCTTGGGCGGAATCGCGGCTCTGGCCATGAAGGCGCTGGGCGTGTCCTTGGTGGCCCTGATGATGGCCGGGATGCTGGGCCTGAAGACAGCCGCCCAGCACGGCGGAGAGACTAGTCACAGCATTTCCTATGTGACCGGCGAGGGACATGGACATCACCACAAGAGAAGGCGCCGGTCGACCGGTCAACAACCCTTGGCCTACAGGGGCTGGAACTGAAGGACCTACAAAGGACCTGTTGACGTGCATTTTGTTAGTTCTTAAGCACTTAAGTAATTTAATAATTTATCCATCATGCAACAGATCCAAGTTGTTTTTATCCCGACTGCAATCGAATCGAGTGCAGTGCCACTCGAGACGATGATGCCGCTCTGGAGTCATGTTGCTGTTGCTGTTGACGTCGTGCTGCGGCCGAGGTTGCTGCCGTTGTTGTTGCCGCTGCTGCCTTGGATGCTGCTCTTTGGTTTATGAAATCGGTGAAAGTTTATTTGAGACGAGCTCGCATTGTGTAGCCATCAGCATCCGCAGCGGCAGAAGGCAACCTACACATGGCCATAACGGTTGTATTTGTGCCGATACCCTAACTCAAAGTTATCTATTTTTGGCGAAAAGCAGGTGTTTTCAGAAAATGTTAATCGTCTTCGTAATTGGCTATAATATATTTTAGATTATTTGGTCTGAATAATTATAAATAACTATTTGACAAGAAGTTTGGAGTTCTTTGATCCATGTGTCGTTGAAAAAAATAAACAAAGCTAATTATTTTTATTTTGACTTGTTAATTTCTTATACAGTGCAACATGAAAAATGTAACCGCAATTCTGATTTCATGGGCGGAAAGAACTCATCGAAATAAGCTAAAACCCATTTGGGTTTATCTGGCTTAGCTCGCGTTTACCTTTTATAGCGAGTTAAAGTTTTACATACAAAATTTATTTGTAACGGCCATATCTTGTGAACCGATTAAAATTTCACTATCAAGTCTTCAGTGATTATGTAGCTATGAACCCAAGGAACCAAATTGACAAATGACTCTTGCGCACTTAGCACCTAGTGCACCTAGCGCGTTAAAAAACAAATTTGCCTAATTTTTCGATTTTTAACGCGCTAGGTGTACGTCTTCGCAAGAGTCATTTGTCAATTTAGTTCCTTGGGTTCATAGCTACATAATCACTGAAGACTTGATAGTGAAATTTTAATCGGTTCACAAGATATGAAAAATGTTGCACAGTGTTATTAAGAATTTATTTTTCACGAAGTTTTCGAAGTTTTTCCATTAAGAGAGTGGCCAGGAGTTATTTCAATGGCTTTTTTTGTTTACGCTTTAATCATTTTTATTATTTTTATTCAATCCCAGTGAAAGAGCATTTCCAGTTCGCATTCAGCCAAGAAAATATCGGATTTCCTCCTTCTTGTTCACGGTGTCATCATTTGTCAGCCCGCTTTCGTGCAGTGTTATCGACGAAGCTGCCAGATACCGGATACCGGAGCTCGGATACTCTTCATCGGTTCTCTGCTGATCTGCGCTTCAGATAGCCCCCGAACTCTTATTTTCCGTGGAATATGGTACACGACCACTGGAGCTGGCCAGCACACAGATTGAATTTGCATAATGCGTGGCCAACTTTCACTGGATTTTGGCAGCGCCAACGGTTCTTTTCGACCACCTAAAGAGCCATGGGCCGGAGCAACAACAAATTACAGCCATGACAGACCCCGAAAAAGAAGACACAAGAAACAAGCTGTGCGTTCTGTTACACAATACCATTAAAGGCCGCAGCACTTGAACAGCCAAAACCCGTTAAGCGGCCGGCAGGGATACGGCCACCATTACTTGTGTGTACCTCTGCCCAAGAGCAACTTGCTCCACCTCTAGCTCTGTAGTCCCCCTTCCCCGGCCTTGCGAACCTTGTACCGCCGCCTAATTGCTCCGTCTACCGGTGCTGCTTCTTTTGTTGGATCGCTCTTCTGCTAACTTTCCCTTTTCAACGGCATTTTACGAGCGCGTCTGCTGGCCGTAATTAAATTATAAAATAAGTTCATAAAGGCAAATTTGTTGTTTTACAATTCGTATATGATCTGCTGCTTTATATAAGAGCGCAGTTGCTCCGGAATTGATTTTCTAAACGGCGCGCTTTGATTTTTACCAGTTTACAAGTGGACAATAAAAGCAGCGGCTTTATGGGTTTATGAGCACGGCGACGACGGCGACAATGATGATGATGATGAGATGGCTGCCAAGACGTGTGTGAATGCTGGAGCTCCACGCCATTCAGTCCATACAGCATACAGCCCAAAGAGTCCAAAAGACCAGTGCATAAATGAAAGTTCATAAAGAAATTAGCTGATTAATCGTCGTTCGATGAGCTTGGGACTTGGAAAATGACCAGGCTGAGCCAAGCCCAGCTGGATGGGATGACTGACTGAAAGTGTCACGCAGCCTACATTTCAGCCGCTGCCTCGAAATTTCACTTTTCAATGATGCTGCGCGGCATCGTCCGTTTCACATGTAAATTAATATTTAACCCAAATACCGCAAATTCTTTATTTGAAATGCTGGCCGTATCGGTTACTGCCGCGCTCCCCGCGTAGTCTGTATACATAATACCCTTTCCGGTATTATTATGCAAATTTCGTATTAATTCAAATGGCCGTAAAAGGGAAAATGTGTTCTATTAACTTGACATTTTTATGGTTTTGTGAAATCTCGCGTCTGCTGCGCTGCTTTATTTTTAGGGTGTGTGCTACTTGGATTTTATTTCTGCTAAGTTTACTTTTACTTATAAAAATATGCAGCAGCGATGCTAATCGGAAGGGGAGTATTTAATGTGGACTGGCTGGGGTTTGGTAAACAAGAGGCTCCTTTAATCCCCTTAAAGCTTCCCGGCTTATGAAAAAAAAATTGCATCATCGCTCTTCACTTTCCTTGATTCCCTGGCACCATTCGGAAATTCGAATGCAAATATATTTATCTGTTGCTATGGCTGCTGTGCTGAGCTGTGTGTAAATGGCTCACTTCTGACCACGACTTTCACCGAAACATTTTTGTTATTTATTCATTAAATTTTTGCCCCTGATGTTGCCCTGCGATGCCATCGCGGATGCTTCTGTTGTAGTCCATTCTGGTTTTTTTTTTGCCGTTCAATAAAACCCGTACCTACACATACTTACATGGCGTACACGAAATTCTTTTTGCATGACCGCGGCAAAATGATGAAAATAAAAAAACAAAAAACGAAATTAAATGTAAAGTCAACACGAAATTTTTTAGCTCCGCCAGTGCAAACACACCCATAAAGTGGCAATTGATTGGCAAAATACGAGCCGGGTGAAAAAAGATGTCAGTAAACAATGTGAAATTGTGCTACCAATTGGTCGAAACTTTTCTGTTTCTGTCGATTTAACTCGATTCCGTACGGTACAATAAGAGCCCCGTGCCCCGTTAAGATATCAGGCCGCCGATCGCCAGAATTCCGTAATGCACGCCCTCGATGCTTTCGTCGCTTATGCAAATTGACCAGAAAATAAAAGGAAAAAAACTTTCACGGCTAAGCCATTTGGCTTTAATTTAATTCAAACGGCTAGAAAAAGGGCCTCTCCGCTGATAAATAATACAGTAAAATGGCCTCTGTGTGGGACACAACGGTCATCATCGTCGTCGCTCGTTCCACTAATGAGTCTCGGGCCCAAATTGATGTCAAGCAAAATGAAAGTGAGAATACGATGATATCTCCGCCGGGCCCAAAATAATCATCACTGCGAACGAGCGCTCAGATCTTCGATCTGCTGATTGAAGCCCACTCAGCCATTGGCCTAATAAGTAGTCTAATTATTGAGCTTTTCTACGCGATGGTATTTTACCATCTTTTTGGAGGCTTGTGACCAACTTTCTCAAGACATTAAGGTTTTTTGTAGGAAAATATATAATTTTACCGGGTGAAAATGCAAGTATATTCCTAATATAATTCTTCTGGTTCAAAAAATGTATCAAAATTAGTGGCTACCAATGACAGAAAAAATTATTAATATACTTAAATTTCATAAAATACTCTTTTATTTAGCTTTTGCTGTTACTTGTAAAAATATGTTTATTAATTTTCTCATTTAAAGGATTTAAATAAATAAATATATATAAAAAGAAACACAAATTAGAAAGCTTGAAATATATGTCAACCGTATAACCAATATATTGTGTTTAAATCAATGAATTCCCTTCAAATTTTTTTAGTTGGTTTACTGGACTATGAAACACATTCGGGGGAGTCACAGAAATTTCTTCCAAATAAAGACGGTTGGTTTTGCGAATTGATGTTCGCGAGAACTAAAAAGGATTTTAAATTATAACAAGTAAAAACACTTAAATTCCCGGAAAATAAACCCCTTGCTAAAGAATCAAGCTACTTTTAAGCCATTTAAAAAGGTCAAAGGATTTAAATTTGTTCACTGATATTATAAATCCCTTTCTGAACTACATAACATGATACGGAAAGGGTTGAGAAGTAGCTTTAATCAAAGCCAACAGAAGTTGACTTCATATCCTAGTTACGTACAGTTATTAAGGTGACCTTTGCTTTCTGCATATGCAGTACTAAACATATAAACAAAAATATTTGTTATGTGATATGACAAAGAAACGCTCAATTTAGATCAACTTTCTTTGTATGCTTAAATAGGGTAAATACATATGTACTCGTTTTAAGGGAACAAAGGATTTCGGAATTGCCTGTTATGCGTGACAACAGGACTGCTAGCAACTTACTGCTCTTCTCGTCTTTGGTTACTAAGTCAACCTCTATTTTGGGGAAAACAAAAAATAATAAAAAGGGATTCAAATGGAAACTGTGTATTTTTATGGCCAAAAGTGTTTACGTTGGGTCAGTTGCTGATGTAATATGCCAGCAGCACAAGTTGTGCATTGTTTTTCTTTTTTCGGAGCGTTTCGAGACACTTGCGATTTGTTTACCCTGCTCTGTGACAGCCATAAACAATAACAGCAACACCCCAAACACAGCAGCAACATCGGACAGCAGCAGCAACATGAACAACAGCAAACTCAACTACTTGCAGGGTCCAACTACGAGCGAAATTCATTCATAAAAAGCACACACTTTGGACACTTGGACGGCTGCTTTTCGCATGAATGGCCAAGCCTGTTGGCCATGCTCTTGCTCATTGGCCATTGGCTCTTGGCCGTTTGGCAGTTGGTAGTTTGGAAGTTGGATGTTGGATGTTGGCACATGCCAGCCGACAAATGGAGGCGTTCACACTCGGCGCGTGAACCGACATAAGTTCGGCCGTTAAGACGGATGTGCAGCGGCATTAAAATTTGCATGTTTTTGCAGCTCTGAACCCATTTGCATTCGAATGTATGCCGATTTATGGCGGTCGAAGAAAACCCAAAGCGGAATTTCAGCTTAAAGATCGCCCCGCTTGTTTTGATTTTCTCCTCTGGGAGGCTGCAGCCATTTTGCCGTTGATGTTTCGTTATGAAATGGCTTACACTTTTACCACTGCACGCCTATATCGATTGACGTCACACGGCCAACTGAAAGCTGATTTAATTGTGGTAGCAAATTACACATACGCCCCATCGCCCATCGACAATTTGGCACCCATTATGCGGATGATTCAGGGGTTTCGTAAGCTGCACCGCAGCAGATCCGTATGATAGTGTCGGATGTCGTCAGTCACAGACATTCACCTTGAAACGGGAGCTCGGATCTTTCCAAGAAACCAACCACCCATCCAAGCACACCGAAAGAAATGCG